TATATATATATATATATATATATATATGATCTAAATAAATAAAATTAAATATAAGCATATAATAAACACGTGTGCATACACATATATACATATATATTCGAGATGGGGGTTGTACAAAATGTTCTCGTTGCATTGGCTTCGACACAAATTACACAAATTACACTGGCAGCATCATTGCTATCCACAACGAATGTTGTAAATAGCACGAAGGCGATAGGTAATGCTACAGACAGCACTCAGACTGGTGTCCAAGCTATTGAAAACACAAACGATAATTGGACTAGTTCAGAAAACATAACGGCGAATGCGAATTCAAGGCCTGTTAATCAAATACTTGTGGAACAGCATAAATTGAACACGGGAAACCAGACTATTGAAAAGAATCAGACTGCCTCGACTGATTTTAACAATATCACAGCCTCAAATGGCGCGGCGGGCAAATCTGACCAATTTAATACCACAATAGATAAAATTGGGGAGGATACTATGCTGACGGAGACCGACAATATCACAACGAACGGAAATGCTTCAGCCGTCACGAATATAGCAAATACAGCTGAATATATTCGACTGTCGGAAGTAAACTCAAAGTCTTTGGACTGGGTGGAGCTTTTCAACCCCTCCAATTATAATATTAACCTGACAGGTGCATTCTTGATAGGAAGGAAGAGTAGTCAGATTTACAGCTTCAAGGGAGACTGTGGTGAGATCGGTGCTGGTATGTACATGCTTCTGGTGGATTCGGATACGACCAATACGGAATACAGTAACAAGGATTGTATGCTCGACTTTGGTATCAAATCCTCTGGCTCCTTATCTTTGTTTGATATTGGCGGTAATCTGATGGACACTACATCATGGCAGGATACGGCCTATGTTTCAGGACACAGTTGGGCTAGAAACTCTGTAGGTCAGTGGCAAACAACTAGTACTCAAACACCTTTCTTTAAGAATATCTTCACTGACGAAATTACTATGCCAGCTGCAGTCGACTTGACGGCGGGTCTCGCTGATAGGAACCTGGCATATGTACAGAATCCACCATTTGGTTCGGTAACGAATGTCAATGTGTTTGTGCATGAATGGTCAAGCAGTTGCACTTGTAATCAGTTCCAAGAAGCGCATAACGACGAAAAATGCGGCTGTTCTTGGACAGACGTACAAGAGGACAGAACAGGCACGGATTTGAGGAAAATTGTTATGCCTTGTTCTGTGAGTATTGATGTCGACGGCGTTCCAGAATTCTGGTACAAAAACGTATTTGATGGTAATAGCACTGTCCTCCAACCTCACTTGGAGGAAAATTGTAATATTGCTGTCAGAGGTGGTTTTACACGACATGAAACGATTAAGAGTTACAACATCAAATTCAGCAAAACAACACTCCCAAGCACCTGGCGTGGGCTCGAACGTTTGAATATGGTAAAAACACCTTGGGAGGAGATGAACGGTGCATTGACAGCTACTTTGTTTGAGCAATTTTCGAAGATGAATGGTTTCGTCGGTATGCGCACCACCGTAGCTAATTTAACCGTTACTGTGGTTGATCAAGATACCGGGAATGTTCTCAGAGTTGAGAATCAGGGTCGCTATGTACTTATGGAGAATTGGGACGAGGACGCTCTGGACCGACATGGTTTGGCGGCGAGAAACTCTAACGGAGATCGGGAAGATGCACATCTGTACAAGCTGAATTCATTTGATTTCACCTGGATTTCACCCGTTTACGACAATATGGCTCCGTTTGTAGATGAGACTGACGAAGTGGCTATGGCCGAGTTCGAGGTGCATCTGGAGGCAAAGGATAGCAAGAACAACACCAAGCTGTACTATACCTTGATGGCTTTGAATCAAATGACCAACATATCCTTCGTTGATGCTATACACAAACACTTTGATTTGGAAAATTTGGCTCAGTGGTTAGCTGTGAATATTGCCTGTGGTGACAGTGATCATCAGGGAAAGAACCAGTACATCTACAGTTCGGAGGGTACAGACGTGTGGTACTTCACACCCTGGGATTACGATGCTTGCTGGGACGTGGTAATGGACAATGGCCCACCCTCAGTGAGTGTTAGTTTATACAATTCTCACTATCTGTTCAGGAATATAATGTTCTGGCCGGAACTGAGAGATAAGTTTTATCCTGCGTTGAAGGCCAAACTCACCGAGCTACGACAGGGGGTTTTTGAGCGATTCACCATCGAGCAACTGCTGACGAAGAATGCTGAGGTGATTGTGCCATTTATGCAGAAGGGACAGACCGATAGGGATTTGTTGTATCGTAAGCCGTACAACTACGAACCAACAGCCAATCAAACATTCTCCCCATACATAAACAACGCAGACAAGTCCCCGCTTAACAACACAATGGGTCAATATGACTTTGTTATGGAGGCAATGGACAACTACACCATGAGTGACCCGCCCCCTACTTGTTTTGGAGAGATTAAGGTGAGGACGATTGAATCTGAGGACACCCAGTTCAATATCCAGCTATGGCCTCTTTTCTCTCCGGTAGACCACAGGATGGATACCATCATCACATTTTACAAGAATCATCCTGACTTCAATACATACGGTAACGGCGATGAAGAGCACACGATCTTCGACTACCGTTTCTGGGCTCCGCCGTATGAGGATATTGTATACGATCACTACGTTTCACAGAGTATCAGCAATAGTACTGAGATGAACGTTCAGATGAAGGTGCCTATTGAATGTGCCAAGGTGTGGGAGTGCAGAGATGATTCTTGTCATATAACTGTCCACACCGTTGATCTCGAGACGGGTATGCAATCTGCCTACGCGCACTACAACTCGGTCATCCAATTCATGGGCGATGATAGCAACTGTGACTGGAGCCTTTACGATCAGGATGGGGAATCGGATGATGAAGAAAACGACTCAGAAGACTTAGAGGAAGACGCCGATGATTCAAATGAGGATTCAAAAGATTCAAATGAAGGGTCAGATGACGAAACTCCTGACGATGAACAATCCGAAGAGGTAGGAGACTCCGACGAGCAATAACATCAGGTGACGGGGAAGTGACAAGAGGTGAGGAAAGCAAGACGAATCAACAGATGGACAGCTGAATTAAGGTCATACTTATGGAATTAAAAGCAGAAATTAGTATCAAGATCTGAGTTTAGTGCAGGAATGTAGTATCGGATGCATTAACGTGGTACGCGATATAGGCTATAACTGTTTTGCCTTTTAGGGTCTAGGGTTGGAGGTAAGAGTTGTGGGCTATAACTGTTTTGCCTTGCATGCGTTGTCAAATAGAATGCGCCAGTGCATTGCGCAGAGATTTGCTGTCGTGCGTGACTTAGCAATTACAGTCCACAAAGCAGACCTTGTTTCCAGCTGATCTCAACTCTTTGAATATCCTTGTTCCGCATAATTGTGTCGAGTTCTGGTGCAGTCGCACTGTCGCAGGCCTGAGCCCGTCCGTCGAGGTGACTAATAACTACTTCAGATGAGCAACAACTGAATTCCAACAGGTTTGAACTCTGCATGCCACACTCCACATCCCCTGCTGTATCGTACGTATACAATTAGAGCACAATCCAATCCTCTCCGAAGATAAAGATAAGTGCAAAACAGCCCATTGAGTGAGTGAGTGAGAAACAAGCCTTTATTGGAGCCGTGAATAGTGACTGTAGCTCTTAGTACTGAATGACGGCGACGTGGCGCCGGCAGTAACTCTGCCGAGCAACGAAGGCGAGTCCGTAATATCGATGTCCTCCTCACTTTCTTCAGCCCCCACTTCTCTGAGTGACCGGTTATAGGCTGCTTGCTGGTGTGGTGAATTGGTGCTAGTCTGGCCCAAAGTCGTGATATTTCCCTGGCGGTCACCAGTACGAGAGTCAACATGTGTGTACGGTGTTGTATGGCCGACTACAACAGGGGAGTGTTTGTCGATTGTACTGTGAATGTGGTGTGTAGGCAGGCTGTGGTTGTGGGGTTGTGAACACCGTTGTGATGAGAAGGACATCCGGGAGAGGCCAGACGTCACGAGCTCCTCCACTGCAATATACGAATGGTTAGGAATTGAGTTCAGTCAACTGGCAAGTAACCTATTGATTAAAAAGGCTTGGAAACCAGAAGTGGATCCAACCTACATACGCATTTATCACCCAATGCACCAATACGAAGTGAGGTACGGCTAGCAATGCAATGGTTTGATTCGTCCCTATTCATAGGCCAATCGATGCGAGAAGCAGGAGGGGACAGTGCCTCAATAACGCGCGATTTTTCGACGATACACAAATATTTTTTACTCGAATACTTGCACACGAACCAAAATAGGACACCACTAACTCATACCGGCAGAGGTGGGTGTAGGGGAGTTCAGATCCTCTCGGCGTTTGTGGCTCATGTTTTGCAGTGCTTGAAGACACTGCGCAACCTTCAACCTGAGACGTACACCGGATAAGGGAGCCACGGACAGGAGTTATTATTTGTATGAAGAATTCGTACTCATGTGCTTGGTATGCCCACACGTCGCTCGATAGGGCGCGATGATAGACAGCCCTATAAACTACCAGTTGGACTGAGCTAAAGATATACACGCGTGTCCCAACGACACACTATAAACGCCCGAGCTCGTATCTATACACAATAGTCTATGCACAGCCCACATATGAAATATAAGGCATCAACAGACACACATCCCCACTGAAGTGAAGTGCAGTACTACTTCTCCGGGCGCTGTACTATAAACCTTGCGTGTGTGATGTCAGAGTTTGGTGCCGTTTTGCACCCGTGTCCTCTATTTTAGGGCAGGGCCGACAAGAAGTGGACACGCAACACAACGCTTCTGTATAACAATTGCGCCTGACGCGCTAGCATATCCGATAGCCCAGCACTGCCGCTCAACAGACTACACAGTGGGAACACTCTACGCAGCACAGACGCACCTTTGGGGGTGAGAGAATAGGCCACTGCCCACGAAGTTACACAGGTGAGACACCGATAACCAAAGACACTTGCAGCAAGGTATAGCAGCATACCTACATACGCGTAGTGGGCTAGGCACGGACTACGGGTACATGAGTGTACACAGCAGCAAAACAACCCTTACGTATGTGTTTAGACCATCACAATTTGGCATGAAATAGCAACGGATTACGGGTACATAAGTGTACACAGGAACAAAACAACCCTTACGCATGTGTTTAGACCATCACAATTTGGCATGACATACACTAGCACACCTCAAGCAACGGATTACGGGTACATAAGTGTACACAGGAACAAAACAACCCTTACGCATGTGTTTAGACCATCACAATTTGGCATGACATACACTAGCACACCTCAAGCAACGGATTACGGGTACATAAGTGTACACAGTAACAAAACAACCCTTACGCATGTGTTTAGACCATCACAATTTGGCATGAAATACACTTAACACCTTAAGCAACGGATTACGGGTACATAAGAGTACGCAGAAACACATACAACCCTTATGCATGTGTTTAGACCATCACAATTGGCATGAAATACACTAGCACACCTGGCGCGGGTATCTTCGTGTACTTTTCGGTCCAATTCTCTTTGGGCAGCATCTATTTGCGACAGTATTTTATCTCGAGTGTCGTAGTATATCTGCGCTTTATCAATCGAACCCCTGGAGAAGAGTAGGTAGATTCAAATCAATAGATGCCTACATGCCAGTCAAGGCATACCGATTAAACACGTACACAGCCACACAGTTTACTTACAGGTCTTACCTGCAACTCATACCTATACCTACAGGTCTTTAACACGTACACAGCCACACAGTCCTATGGGTCATTCTTTGTGTTTAACGACCGGCCTGGTGACGAAGGCTGGAAATCCAGGCGGCGAGTGTATGTACATACACGACAATCTCAATTCAATCTCACTTGCGCAAGCGGTTTAATCTTGCACCCTAGAGGGCTGGTTATAAACCAAGTTACAGCCGCACAGTTGCTGTTGCACGGACTAGCACAGGCAACAGTACATCGTAAACTTGCGGAAGAACCATTATTCCCAAAGCACGTCTGACATCACCAAGACCCGACCCCCCCCCCTCCCTACACACACCTGTCCGTAATGCGGATGCTTTCACACAGCTCGATCTCCTTCTTTGCCTTCTTGTAGGCCAGTTTCACCTCCACATCGACCCGCTGCAGCTCCATCTTACACTCCTGCACACACATGGCCGCGTTGTTGAGGGCATCCTGTACCTGTAGGTCTATCACCACACTCACTCCCTTGCTCTGCTTGCCACTAGCGCCCTTGGCCATATTCCCCACAAGCTCCTTCTCGAGCTGTTTCTCGCACAGGTGTTGTTCGGTGCGTGCTTTCTCGTACGCAGTGATTACCTTCTGCAGCTGCATGTCGGCCATCTCCGCTGCGTCCTTGGCATCTACTGCACTTTGTTCCTGGAGAATGGATAAACAGGCGATAAGAAAAACAACATTTGGGTGAAGAAGGATGGATGCATGGTAGTAAAAATGGTGTACGGATGGAGGAAGATGGCCGGAGATAGCAAGAATTGTATTCAGGTGCAGAATGTGTGAAGAATGAAGAGTCGACAATAGATTCACCGACACGACGATTGATGGATGATAGGGATACTGCGTATGGTATGTGCGTCCGCACACAAGTGGTGAAGGTGTGATAAAACTCAGGCAGTGGAATATGATATCCATACGACTGAGTGTACAAGTGGTGAAGGTGTGATAAAACTCAGGCAATGGGATATGATATCCATACGACTGAGCATACAAGTGGTGGGGTTGATACTGACGACGATAGTGTGTAAACGTCACAGGGTGCAACAGGCCATGTCACTTGGCGCCGGTCAAAAGGTTAACTACTCAGGTTAACCTTTCCCAGCTAACAGAGACACCAGTAAACGACTGACGGAGTGCACCATACACCCATCGAGCAAGTGATTGGATTCTATTTATAGCCAGATTGAAAGAGTGAACTATTCAGGTCAACCTTCCCTAGCTGACAGAGACACCAGCAAACGAGTGACGGAGTGCCCCATACACCCATCGAGTAAGTGATTGGATTCTATTTATAGCCAGATTGAGTTGAGAGTAGACGTCCGGGACATCCGGCAGGTCAATTGGTTCGATGAATACGCGACAACTAATCTACTGGGAGTGCGGCAGCCGATAGTGCGGCAGCCGAGGCTAAGGATTACATACGCATTGCTGCCTGGGGGACAGGCAGGTTTATAGTACGGTTGCGGGTGGATAATGATTCGCCACACCACTCGTACACAAGCACGTAAGCGCTGGTCCATATACGTTTATACGTTCTTTCACTGCACATGTCTGATTCCCGCACGTGTAGTATGGATACGTTCGTTTGTATGCCTCTAGATGTATACACAAATGACACTCTCAAAGGGGTTTGTTGTGTGTGTGTGTGTGTGTGTGTGTGTGCGTGTGTGTGTGTGGGTACTTCTTGCACTCTCTATCTCTACGACCGTTTGTGAATCCAGTGTACCTGTTTGAAGTACGTCTTTGCTCTCTCAATGGCCTTCAACATGCCAAGACGACCCTCCACATACCGAAGGTTCACGTCACCTGCACGAAGAATAAATGAATGTCAATGGAACAGTGAGATGAGGCTAAGAGTGATCGCTACTTCCGGTGCAAGTCAGCTGTAAGTACAAATCAGCTGTAAGTACGGATATACGCAAACAAGGACAACGATACAGACGCAATATATACACAGCAAAGTAGCAAGACAAGAGTAGATTGTAGGTTCACAATGCTTGTGGGAATTAGCTGTAAGCACGGATATATGAAGACATAAAGACAGCCATCCAGGATAAACGACAAGCAGCAAACTAGCAAGACAAGAGTAGATAGTAGCTTCACAAATGAGAACGTATACATACATAGGTAAATATAGACACAGAGGTACATATACATATAGGTACATATAGACACAGAGGTACATATACATACAGAGGTACATATACACACAGAGGTACATATACATACAGAGGTACATATAGACACAAAGGTACATATACATACAGAGGTACATATAGACACAGAGGTACATATACACACAGAGGTACATATACATACAGAGGTACATATACATACAGAGGTAAATATAGACACAGAGGTACATATACGTACAGAGGTACATATACATACATAGGTACATATACATACATAGGTACATATAAATACAGAGGTACATATAGACACAGAGGTACATATACATACAGAGGTACATATACATACAGAGGTACATATAGACACAGATGTACATATACATACAGAGGTACATATACATAGATAGGTACATATACATACAGAGGTACATAAACATAGATAGGTACATATACATACAGAGGTACGTATACATACAGAGGTACGTATACATACAGAGGTACATATACATACATAGGTACATATAGACACAGAGGTACATATACAAAACACAGACTTATCCGCGCACGAATATACCAGCGAAGTGGTTGTAGTCTTTAAAACCCTGAAACCCTAAAGTCTCTATCATATGTCATATGTCACAATGTGGTTGATCCCACATATACCCGTATATAAGTTTCTCCTTCCAACCAGAGCGAAGTAAGCAACAAAGAAGCGATTCGACCTGACACTGTACACGAACCACTCCACACAGACACGTGGCTGTGAGGCAAAGGCTTCTCTGTCTACTTTCTTATCCAAACCAAACATACATATACACAGAACACACGCTGGAAGACTACTCACACACGGTTGCATGCACATCTACCGGAGCCTCGAACACAGCAGTCGCACCTTTATTGATCACAGCCAGGAGACGATCCTTGCACTGATACAGCTCAATCTCAATCTCATCAACATCCTCTGTTGTGTGGGTGCACAATGTGCGACAGATATTAATTATCGGATGTATATTATCTCTAATAATGCTCAGGATGAAAATAAAAGGGATTCTTGTTATATGATTAAAAAGAAAAACAATACCCCTTATAAGGTACTATTGAGCTGGGATGGTTCAATGGTCGAACAGGTACCTCAAGCGACAGACTGCGCGTGGTGTGTAGAGTGGTATAAATATATAGATATGAATGCACACACACACACACACACACATATATATAAATATATATACATATATATATATAAATATATATGTATAAGTTTATGTATATGTATATGTATATGTATATA